GGAAGCAGCTAAAAAACCATTCTTTCAAAAAGTCCAGCTTGAGCCTCTAGTAATTTTGCTGATATAATATACTTCTAAAGTCAGGTAGGATTGCATAGGGGATTTCCAAAGTTGATCCTGCAACTATAGTTAATATACTGGGATAACTCTTCTTATGAACCTTATGAAAATGTATTCTTAGATTCCCTTAAAGGTCAGTGACCAGAAATCCCCACTGTTTCTATGGCAACACAGCAAGATATGGTGCCTTGGAAATGTGCTGCATTTTAATTAGGAGTTCCTGTAGGGCCTCCTAACAGCCTTTTGCAGGTAAACTAAATACCAAGTTGCTTTATATCTCACAGTGAGATGAAGGCTAGCCCATCTGTAAATGTCAAAGCTAAGCTGGGATCCAGTAAAGCCAAATTTAAACAAATACAGTCACAAGTTTATGTGTTTATCTTACAAAAGACTATAGTACTCTTTACCTAAAATAATCAGGGATGCTTGCCTAATTAAGCTGGCAGAAGGAGTAGTGAGGATCCTGGATTCTAAAACTAGACTATGTAGGTTTTGTTTGTTTGTTTGTTTGTTTATCACTTATTTAGACTATGTAGGTTTGACTCCCAGTTATGTCATTTGCTACCTATGTTACTTTGAGTAAGTCATTTAATGTCTTGGTGCTTCTGTTTCCTTGTCTGTAAAAATGCAGATGACAATAGTACCTCACAGCATTGTTGTGTGGATTAAATGAGTTAATATAAGTAGAATGCTTAGGACTCTGACTGGCCTAGGGTAAGTAATCAATAAATCAGTAATGCTATAGTAGCAGTAGTGCAAGAAATGGTGGTAGAGGTGGTGGTGGTAGTAGTAGTAAAGAACACTGTACTTTTAAATGTAAATAAGAAATACATATTTAAATGTTTAGATAATTCATTTATACCACCTCTTAATATAAAACAGTTATAATAGCCAATGCAATCTTGAAAAAGAAGAACAAAGCTGGAGGCACCATACTCCCTGATTTTAAACTATATTACAAAACTACAGTAGTCAAAGCATCAAGGCACTACATAAAAACAGACACATAGACCAATGAATGGAACAGAATAGAGAGCTCAGAAATAAACCCATGCACATATGATCAGTTAATTTACAGTAAAGAAGCCAAAAATATATAGGGAAGGGAAAAGATAGTCTCTTCAATGAATGGTGTTGGGAAAACTATACAGCCACACAGCAAAGAATGAAGTTGGCCCATTATCTTACACCAAATGCAAACACTAACTCAAAATGGATTAAAGACTTGACTGTGAGACCTGAAACTATAAAACTCCAGGAAGAAAACATAAGCAGTAAGGCCTTGATAATCAGTCTTGGCAAAGATATTTTGAATTTGACATCAAATGTAATAAAAGCAAAAATAAATGAGACCACAAGAAACTAAAACGCTTCTATATAGCTAAGGAAACCATCAACAAAATGAAAAAGCAATCTACTGAATTGGAGAAAATATTTGCAAACTATGTATCTGATAAGGGGTTAATATTCAAAATAAAGATTCATACAGCTCAATAGCAAAAACCAAATAATTCAATTAAAAATTGGGCAGAACATCTGAACAGGCATTTTTCCAAATAAGACATACAGATGGCCAACAAGTACAAGAAAATTTGCTCAATATCACTGATCATCAGGGAAATGCAAATCAAAACCACAATGAGATATCACCTCACATCTATTATGTTATTATCAAAAAGACAAGAGATAAGTGTTAGCAAGAATGTGGAGAAAAGGGAATCCTTGTGCACTTTTGGTGAGAATGTAAATTGGTGTAGCCACTATGAAAAACACTATGGAAGTTCTTCAAAAAATTAAAAATAGAGCTACCATAAGATCCAGCAATCCCACTTCTGGGTATTTACTCAAAGAAAACAAAAACACTAACTCGAAAAGATACATGCATCTCTATATTCATAGGAGCATAATTTACAGTAGCTTAGATATGGAAGCAACCTAAGTGTCAATTAATGGATAAAAAAAATTTGGTATGTACAGTTGACCCTTGAACAACATGGGTTTGAACTGTGGGAGTCCACTTATATGTGGCTTTTTTTCAATAGTAAGTACTATAGTATTACATGATCCACAATTGGTTGAATCCACGGATGCGCAATTGAGGAGATGGAGGGCTGATTACAAGTTATACACAAATCTTCGACTACGCAGAGGATGGGCGCCCCTAACTCTTGCACTGTTCAAGGGTCAACTACACATATAATGGCATGCTATCCAGCTATAATGAAGAAGGAAATCTTTCCATTTGTGAAAGCATAATATCATCAAGGTCCATTCATGTTAAGTCAAATGTGTCAGACAGAAAAAGACAAATACTGCATGATCTCACTTATGTGTGGAATCTTTAAAAAAAAAAAAAAAAGCCCTGGAGCTCATAGAGAATAAATAGGTGGTTGTCAGAGGTGGCAAGTCACTGGAGGTTGGGGGCACTGGGCAAAATGGATGAAGGAGGTCACAAAAGGTACAAACTTCCAATTATAAAATAAATTAAGTCATGGGGATCTAATGTACAGCCTGGTGACTACAGTTAATAATATTATGTAAATTTGAAAGTTGCTGAAAGAATAGATTGTAAAAGTTCTCATTACAAGAAAAAAAATGTGGCAATGGATGTTCACTAGACTTACTGTGATCATTTCACAACATATACAAATATAGATTATA